CTCTCTCTCTCTCTCTCTCTGTCTCTCTCTCTCTCTCCCTCTCTCTCTCTCTCTTGTCCTGACATTGGCCATTCAAAATCAGTAAATAAATCTTTTTAAACCCTATAACTTTTATCTAAAACATTTTTTTATAAAACATAGTTTTCGAGATATCCCGGGGTCTCGACTTTTTTTATACAACCTGTATAAAACTAGTACATTTCTACTTGGAAAATTTTCAGGAAATCTCTAAACACTTTCATAAATCCGTCAGTTTTGCGAAGTTATCGATAAAGACAGGTTGAATGCTTTTTTGATAAACAAGATATCTGATCGAGTTTCGAAGTAATGCAAGTTTCGAAGTTTAAGATTTCCAGCCATTTCAACTTTTTGACAAATTGCGTACATTTTCATTTTAAAACTATTCTTTCGATGTGATAAAAACGGTTCGACTTCTTCACACGTCAAAAATAGTACTTACGGGCACATACGTGATTAGCTCCTTCGTCTTGCAGAGGATTGAGTCTGAGATCCAAATTTTTCAGGCAGCTCGTCTCTGACTTGAGTATTCCATGAATAAGGCCGGCTAATCCTGTAGGTCCTATGTTGTTGTTCGCCAAACGTAGACTCTTCAACTTTTGATGCATTGACAGAAACTCACCCACTGCGTGCGCGCCGGTGTCCATCAACTTGCAATGTGACAGATCCAATTCTTCGACCTGCACCCGAGATAATTGAGAATATAACGCGCTGACCGAAATAAATGGAACTCGCGACGCGACAAAAAAAAAGAAAACGTCGGAGCGAGTAAAATTTAACAGAAACGATTTCCAATTAACCACTTGACAAACACCACTCTCTTAATTGTTTTGCAATTTTAATTGTATTCGATCGATAAGAATAACACGGATTCCTCGAATTTATACCAAGGTTGTACCGTAGATTTCAAGATTACATTTATGCGGATTGTTTGCCTATGTGATGTATACACGGTTTTTTTATGTAAATAATATAAACTATGTAAGATATTGCAAATTATATTAAAACATAATATAAAATATGAGAGTATAAGAAAATAATTAAATTATGATAGTGTCAGTATCTGTTAGATATTTATTATTAAAATTTTAGGTATTAATTATAAAAATGTAATGTTTGAAAATAAATTGCATGAAATTTTCATTTAATTGTTGATAGATTGGTAGATTTAATTCTGAAGAGATAAGAATGTAACTAGAAAATTCTGTGAACACTCTTATTAAATAAAAATTTATATCAGGATTTACTTAATCTTTTGAATTCTGATGTAAATTAATTGTAATATTTGTAATTAACAGAATCGTCTACAAGAATCGTATGCAAAGTTGTATAGAATACTTTTTTAGAAAGAAAAGATCGATATAAAAACAAAATTTATTTATAAACTAAATTTATTTAAGTGAGTATTACAAGGAAAGTGCAATACGATATTTTACTTTATTATAAATTTTTAAGGGCTTAAAAATGATAAAATCCTGTTCTGTATATCCCTTGCTAATTATCCAAGGACGACTTTAACAAACATTTTCCGACGAAATATATCGTTTGTAAGCGATGCATTATATATATTTGCATGTGTGGGCATAAAACTACGCACACAGAACGGTGTTTCACGCACTTGTCGCGTAAGACTTCCAAAATCAAATCAGGATTTGCTTTTGGTTCCTATCAGTTAAGGAACATAATAAATTTTGCTAGGAGCATAGAACATTTTTTTAATAACACATTTCGTTCCTAAAATATAAGAGAAACACATATAAAATAAAAGAACTCAGTTACTGCAAAATGTCGGTCTATTCCTATCTATTTGTAACAAAATCTCTGTTATAAAATTTATCGTAAATTACTGTTCGTATTTATCGTATTTTACTGTAAAATTCTCTCAAAATTCTGTGGACTCTTATTTAGGAAGCAATATTTATAAATTTACACCAGGATTCTAAAAATTAAATAAAAATATAGACTTTTCTTAATCAATTTTTGTAAAAGTTGAGTAAAAGTCATATGTTGTTTAAACAACATCTATAGATTACTCAGTGTCTACATAAATGAAATCTCATAGTTTACATTGTCTACGTGTAAATGTAAACATGTAAAACGCCTAATCCTGATTTATATTAGACAAAGAGAAAGAGAGCGAGAAAGAAGGAGAGACAATTCTCCAACTAACGTTACGGTTTGATGCCATTCCTTGAAGAATCGTAGCGACTCGCGGCCGGTCCAAGCTGCTGCGGGTTAAGCTGAATTTTCTCAACTTCGGGCTGGCTTTAATTCCTTCCCCAAGACTCACGCAATCTTCCACGGAGAACCTGCTCGCGCGATTAAATCTCGTCTTATCAAACGTTCGCTTTAGTCCTCTTTATCCTCGCTGCTCGCTAAACTTTCCACTCACTCAAAGTCCCGCCATTCGAAACCGTCGTTCATGTAGATCATACCGAAGTTGAGGTAAATTTCGGTGAGATAGGGCAATTGTGGGAGTACAACCGCCATGGGAATATGATGCGCAACGTCTTCCTCCGGCATTGGCTCGTCGTTCTCCTCTCCAACGGCTCGTTTCGACTGTTTTCTGCAAATTACGTTCGAGTTGTGTTTATTACAAAGTGCCCTAGCGATAAGTCGTTTTTATTTATCGCCAAATAATAATAATAACTCCACCACTGCTCACGTTGGCATGTACTGACCTCTTTTGTATATCTTTTCGATTATATACTCGAATAAAAACATAATTTATCGATTTTATTAAAAAGTTACTCAAACAAAAAACATTATGGCATTTTAAAGACATTTTATGAAATTGTAAGAAAAAAGTCTTTATAACGTCTCATGTCCCAATGTAAGAAGTTTTTCAGACATTGTTTTAAAGTTCCTGGCTCCTCGCCAGGATCTTCGCCAGAATCCTTGCCTCTTGATATATGACGTCAGAACCGTAAAATTAACTTGACATGCAGCCGTCATTTTTAACCTACATTTCCTCATTATCTTGTCTAATGTCATAAATCAAAATGAGGAGCCAAGAACCTAAGACGTCTTAGAGACATCCTGTTTAAGCTACTTTAAGATCCTTATATGTATATACGATTGCAGATTTCTAGAATTATACAAGGTATTCAGCGTAACCACCCGCACAATTTTTTTTCAGACACTTCCAACGGTTTAAGGTTGCAAGATGAATTTTCAATTGTTTCGTATAAATTTATATACAATTTGCAATAACAAAAAGTAAAAAATTTTTTTTCATAAAGAAATCAAGGTCACCTTTAATTTTTTTAAAAGTGCACACATAACATTGTAAAGGACTTTAAAATGAATTTAATGCACTATCACGAACGTCACTTTTGTTAATATTTAATATATAATTAAATATATAGCATTATTTTACGGTTACTTAGCCTATAATGCACGAATAATCTAAAATTATCTTCAGGAAACCTCATATTATAAATGAACATGGACCAATTCAATGACCGCCTCGTTCTCCAGATTTATCTCTGATGGATTTTTTTCTTATGGAGATACCTGCAAGCTCTTGTATATAAACACCAATTAATAACGTTCAAGATTTTTCAGAAAAAATAATTATAGCTTATGTAAATTTAAATTCAAATAGCATAATAATTACTATGCACAGTAATTTGTTAAAAAGAGCAGAATTTTATGTTGCAGCAAGGTGACAAGTAACTTGAACATTTACTTCCATAAGTTAAAGTTTTTTTATTATTTTACTATTATTGTTAATAAAAATGACATTTGTAATAGTGTGTTAAATTCATCTTAAAGTCTTCTATAATAATATAAAAGAAGTGCATTGTGCCATTAAAAAAATTTAAGCTTGATTTCTTTACGTAAAAAAAATATATTTTTACCTTTTGTTATTGCAAATTGTAACCTGCACGAAACAGTTGAAAAGTTATCTTGCCAAATACTTTATAAAAGTTTAGAAAATTTCGTAAGCTTGTCGTTATGATGTGAACTGACAAACTCGTGAAAATATTTAATTTTAAAATATTAATTTTTTTACTATAAAAGAACTGTAAATTTAATAATATTCCATCAAGATATTTGCAATTTTGTTAATTTTTACTCAATTTTTATTATAGTAGTTCACACGATAACGATAAGCTTATGGAAATTTTCTACCTAAAATTCAGCTTAATTGAACCACCGAGAGTCAAAATATTATTGCAAAATGACGATCTTGAAAAGAAAAACGAAATATATTTCAACTGTACGTATCATACATTTATATTCAGAGTATTTGATCATTAAAATTATATTTTTCTTCTCTTTATGTTGTATAAATATACGTCAAAATAACATTTTCGCATATTCATTCAGTTTGTCATAAAAAATTGTGAAAGAACAAGCACGATTTTCAGGTAATCTGACCTTCCAGTCCCCTTAAGTACATTTGTAATATTCTCAAAGCTTTCCTTTACTCAACAATCGATACAATCGATACTAAAATTAACGTGATAAAATTATGGAAAAAGTAAGCTTGCATGTCACGTTAGTTTTATTATTTGCTTATTGATTGTTATAACAAATGGAAAGTTTTCGAAATATTTTACAAATGTGATAAATGTGATAAATGACAATCGATCATAAATGTCACTTTATAAACATATCAGTTTATCCTTTTATTTTAATTTATATGAATTTGGCACTTGAATTTTTAAAAAAGTTAATTTTTGTATACTGAAAGTGATAGACTTTTATTTATAATTATTTATAATAACAATAATTTCATTTGTAATTTTAAATTTAATTCAAAATTACAAAATTTTTTAAAAATAGCCCACACCCAACTTTGAGACAAAAAATGTCAATAAAATATTTTGATACAGAATTGTCTATAGTTGTTTGTAGTATTTTTCGTTTCTTTTATAGTCGCACCGTTCAAATTTTAAAAAGCATATTATTATCCTAGCAGCACAATGCATTGGGTCTATGTCAAACCTATAGCGACCATTCTAATTAATTAGCCACTTGGCTAATTAATATGTACCCGAGCAAAAATTGAATCTAGTGATTGTCTAGTAATGACACAAAAAAGTTAGGTCTTACCTCATTACTAGCTAGTAGTACTTGCTAGCTACTAGCTGGGAATGTAACACTCACTTCTCCTAATGGTTGTACTAGAAAAATTAGCTAGTAGCTAGATACAAAAAAATAACTTGTAACTTTCTAGCCTGCACTAGACAGTAGATAGCAAAAAATATAGATAGAAAAAATTATTTTTCTTCAATAATTTCCCTTTTTCTCTATATCAGGAATACCTAATAATCTTTAGATTTCTTATCTTCAGTTTTCTTATCATGGATTTCATAGAATTTCTGTATCATGGATGTCTAGTAGCTAGACAGGTTTTTTGTTTATATATATATATATATCTCTCTTTAGGAGAAGTGATCCAATGGAGTTAAGTTTCTTGTAATTCTTCTTCATTACGTATTATTTCCATTCTATTGAAAAAATTCATTTTATACTTCGGGACTTGAACCTGAAAAGCCTCTGGCTCTTGAGTCTGGTACTTTACCTGCTAGACCACTACTATAGTCGGTAGTAAACGTTTTATATTAGCTATATATGGTTTACTCAACGCCGTTTTACCTAATTTCTAGATAAAAAAAATTACACTGTGACGAGATGAAAGATTCAGTAAATCCTGAATAGAAATTGAATATAAAACGCTGTCTAGTAACTGTCTAGCAATGTACTGTAAATCCAGAATGAAAATTAGATGTCAAAACAGTTCTGATGTCCAATCTCTACTCAGGATATATCGATGATTTTGTATCTCGTTACTGTGTAATCCTTTTCGTCTAGTCACTGTTTATGTAATTGGTGTAAGTACTAGATAGTTCTGACGTCCAATTTCTATTCAAGAGTTACCGATGATTTTCTATCTCGTTACTGTATAATTTTATTTGTCTAACTACTGTCTATGTAATTGGGATAGTTACTACACAGTTCTGATATCCAATTTCTATTCAGGATTTACCGATGATTTTCTATCTCGTTACTGTATAATTTTATTTGTCTAACTACTGTCTATGTAATTGGGATAGTTACTACACAGTTCTGATATCCAATTTCTATTCAGGATTTACCGATGATTTTCTATCTCGTTACTGTATAATTTTATTTGTCTAACTACTGTCTATGTAATTGGGATAGTTACTACACAGTTCTGATATCCAATTTCTATTCAGGATTTACCGATGATTTTCTATCTCGTTACTGTGTAATATTTTCCATCTAGCCACTATTTATATAATTGGTGTAGTTCTAGACAGTCCTGACATTCAAAAGACTGAGTAAGAATATTTAGCCAGTCACGAGCTAGTGACCGGCTAGAAAACTTATCTAATCATTACTATCTAGTTATTAGTTTTGAAATCTGCTCTACTAGATATATTTTTGCTCGGGTAACTGCTCAAGTAGTATATACATACATATTAGTATAAAATACATATTAGGCGCGCAAATTAATTTTTATCTTTAATCAATTATAACACCGCTTTAAATTCAAATATCTGCTCGCTGTTTAGTGAGTTTTGAAATGCCAGTCTAATGTTTCAAATGCATTATACAACCTGGCGAAGTTGACAACATAACCTTACAAAACAGTAACATGATGGCATCCGACAAGCAGTATATCAGTTACTGCATTCTTTTTGCTTTCCAGTTTAAAAAATGCTGCCGAGATTGCAAATATAATTTGCTCAACTTTGAAGAAAAGTGCTGTAACACATAAAACTTGTAAAAAGTGGCAGCAAAAGTTTCAGAATAGTAATTTCTGTCTTATTGATGAACAACATTCCGGCACGTCGCAAAAATTTGAAGACGAGAAGTTTGAGCAATTATTGAATGAAAATCTCGTTCAGACTCAAGATGAGTTTGTGTTACAATTAAGAGTAATCCGTCAATCAATTTTCGTTCGCTTACATAAGCTGGAAAAAATTCTAAAATTAGGCCGATGGATTCCATACGAGCTCAGCACGAGGAGAGCAAGCAAAGGAGGTTCGATACGGCAATAAAAAAGTGCAAAGCAAAAAATACAAAATAAGAGATTTTTAAAACCATTAATAGCGATGAAAAGTGGGTTTTGTACGACAATCCTAAAAGAATAAAATCGTGGGTTGATCTTGGTTAATCGTCGACATCGACCATAAAACCCAATATTGATCTAAAAAGTTTTATTATATTTTATTTGATAGGATATGAAAGGCGCGTGAATTGCTGCAACCTGGTCAAACAATTAATTGAGTATTATCAACAACTCATTCGTTTGAGCGACGAAATAGTGAGGAAAAAACCGTTTATTGGTTATGGAACGCAAGTCATCTTACAGCATGATAACACTCAATTGCACGTTGCAAAAAGAATGGAGGATTCTATTTGTTAGGCTGGGAAGTTCTCCCTCATGCGACTTATTCATCGGACTTAGCTTTGGATTATCAACTATTCCTATCGTTCCAATACCACCTAGCTGATTCACACTTTAAAAATGTAAAAGAGGTCCGAAAATGTATCGATAATTTCATCGATTCAAGGTCGTCATTT